TCGTAGTATTACTTTCACATTCCACAGAATTGCTCGTCTTCGCCTTCTCGAAGTAGTCGGGAGCGCACTGCCTACACATATTTCCGGAGTAACCAATATCACATTTGCATTTTCCACTTCCTTGTCTGCTCCCGTCACCCTGAATGTAATCACAAATATTGTTGGCAGTACCAGAATCCAGTTTGTTTGTTCTCGTGATTGGTTGTTCTAAGTTCTACTTTTTTTACTAACAATAAGGAGAACATTGAGAATCGTTCCAGAAAAATCCCGCCGTGGACACACCCAAATTACCTTCTAGATAGCCCCATTCAACCTTAAAGATTGAAGAAATCTTCAAAAAATGCTTCAACTTTAATTCCTGAGAAAAATAAAAAAAAAGACAAAACAAAAGTGCAGATAAAACATACATCACATTTCCCATGACCGTAACAAGCCATTCCTGACTGCTCTAGACCTGGGCACTTCGAACATTCTTTGCCGTATTGTCCTGCAGGGCAGCACACTAAAGTGGGAACGTGAATGCGACCAACAAAGTTGAGAAGGTTCAGCCTTGTAATCTTTGGCTATATTTATGTGAAAGTCTGAACAAACAACCAGCCATGAATTAATATTTTCAGTGACTCTACAAACATGCCTATTAGAGGCTACAACACATGGTGGGCTGATCTTAAAGGAAAAACGGTTCGCTCGTTCAAGCGACTAATGATTCCTAAGAAATTGTTGGTCGACAGAAATGTTGCCCATACTAGCCGACTATATATACAGCAGCGCTTAAGAGTCTCCGGTCAAACGATCAAACGCGTTTTGGCTGTTCCTTTTTTCTTAGTGGAGAAAATCGTTTCGTTATGTGTAATAAGCATATTTCACACTGTCCGACTCTATTTGACAGCAAAGCAGCAATATTCTTCACATAGCAAGAGTTGTCGTGGTACCAGACTTTGTATATTCACAATGCACCCATGCTACATATATTGAAATTTTGCATGACTAGATAAAGTAGGAAAGGAGTTATAACCGAAAAGTACGCCTGAAGAAGCATTTGGCGGAAGACTTCTGAGCGCTACTATATGTATGCCTTAGAGTATTACTTCTAGAACCCAGTTGTGACTTTTTAGCATCACAAATCGAGCACGGGCTGAAGAAAAGTACTAATGTGTAAAATTCAGCTAGAAACTTTCGTTTTTTGCATCTGTACTAATATCAAGAGCTGACAAAACACTATAGTGCTCAGCCTTTAGAACAGAGAGTATCTATAGATCTTGCTAACCTGTGATCGATTGTAATCAATGTTACGCTATAAAGCATAGCAGAATAAGATTTAGGACAAAAAAAACGTACATTTCAGGCGCGATTCACACAGCCAAGTTGTCATATTAGACGACTGATGCTTGTAGTAATATTCTTCAATGGTTTCTTCGTGCTCCTCGACAAGGAAGGCGCACTGAAACATTTGCAAGCTGAAAAACAGTAAAACACCACCTAGGTCTATCCAGTACTAATGGTAAGTAGCCTAATGTTTTGTCTTAATGCAAAAGTCAAAATGGTCAAATAACAAATGACTTGCTTACACAAACAACCTTCTCATAATGTCATCACACTGGTGAACCCTTAACCACTTATGGAATCACTACATTGGCTCCCCTTGTGCTCAGCTGCTCAGGTGAGAAGTTCACCCCATTAGACAAGTTAAATTAAAAGCAATTGTTTTCATTTTCAGTCTTCGACCTCACAGCAGACCAAGTTTCACAAGGAACAAGAGAGGGAACAAGGGAACAAATTCGCAGGATTTGTCTTTGAGAGGAATCAAAAGTCTCAGGCGTAGATAGATTTTGATAGGTACACACAGAAGAAGGAAATGGCGAAAGTCTAATGGATGGCTACCTCTCTTATGGACAAAGGATGAAATCTCAGTCCATATTTGCTTAAGCCAACCGAGTCTTCCGACCCTCCAGTGACTATGTGCAGCGATAGGTTCGTGGGGAATATTAACACAAATGGTAACAGCTAGTAGGGGCTGATACCACAAGATAGTTTCAACTATTTATGTTGCTTCGGAGCACTGCGATGGATCGCAGGTAACGGATTACTGGAATGATAGCATCTGATGATGGCCAGTAGAGAATCTCAAGAGGTTTTTAGTTTTCGACCCCAAGTAGATATGAAGTAGTTATGACAATTGCTATGTTTAGTAGGATAAGGTGAGATGAAGTAGATTGACAAATAAAAGTGATAATATCATCGATTAGAACCGATTAAGCCAGTAAACTGAAGAAGAAAGGAGGTTAGTTTAGTCCTTGGTATCAGGTTGTCACGATGCGAGCCTTCCTATTCGACATATCCGTTTTTCACGGTGTCGACGACGCCGAAACATTAGCTCAATAGCCATACCATCTAAACCTATGGCTCCAAGATATGAAGGAATCAAGCAAGTTAATTGTTTACCTTAGATTCCAGATCTGACAAACCACTGAATTGGACCGTCTCTTTTAATGCATTCTTTTTACACACGTCTTCCATGGTCTCTACGAAACGTGTTTCACTGAAAAAATACAATTAAGAATATCAAGAAAATTTGAAAAAAATTACCTCGTAGCATATCTTCCTAAGTTTCGTTCTTCCCAAGCCGTATCACCACCGGCAAAATGGTGCCGAGAAGTTCGCCGGAGACCCTAAAAATTGTGACTTCTCGGTGATAGCTCATTAGTTATTATTAGTGCCGACTGGTATTAAAGAGGCAAGTGAGCCTTTTCAGTATCCACTGATGATCCACTTCTGACCTCATACTGCGTTGCATGTTTCCCCTACCAAATGACTCGCCCCAGTACACAGTGGAGGTAAGTTATTATCACCTGATGATCACCCACCAAATCATTATCAACTGCTGGAATGAAATTGAAGGAGTAGACACTTGATTATTTCGAGTTTCCCCCTAGGAGTTACACTCACGGTAGGTTTTCAAATTCACAACAAAGGAAGAAAGATAGATTGTCCTACGCACCAAGTTACTTTGATTATGTCAGTATTATATGTATAGATACATGTATATAGCTCACATATAAAGAGATATGTATGTATAAATAGTTCACCCGCATGAGTATCCCCACGAAGAACAAAAATCAAACATATGATTGCAAATGAGAGCAAATTTAGGATGAATCAGACAGAAAAGATGTTATAAAGAGATGCCCCTCCAAACTGCAGTCACAACGCGAACATGAGGATGTAGTTTCCGAGGCCAACAAGGAGCTGTATAGGTTCAGCATAATTAATTTGACGATGTGCAGGCTATCTCATCAAAACCTCTCAAAC